CCTGACATATGTTGCTTGTCTTGGGGCTTGGTATACCCTAGATCGTTTCCTCCTTCAGATCTGAAAGGTAAAAGTCTTGGTGATTTTTGTTTCCTTCTCTCTTTCCTTTGGCATCCAATAAAAATAAAATAAAAGATTTAGATGATTTCTTGAGAGGCAGAGGGAGAGGTACATTACCCATGACCCCACTATTCGCGTACACTTTGCCAGAAAAAGCTACAAAAGTAGAAAGATCAATAAGATGAGCATTTGTTGTTCACTGGGATTGACATAAAAAAGAAGGAAGAGAAAATTTGGGATCCAGAGAAGGAAGATATAGGGAGGAAAGAAACCATAATAAGACTGCCTGTTTACTTAGATATCTGTTGGGGTGAGAGTCCACGTGTCCTTTGATCAATATTCCCTAGGTAAATCCTGCACTTTTAATTTATGCATAAATGAAACCGGCAGAGTGGATACACAAGCAGGATCATTAAGTTGTTGGCTAGCTGAACAACTTAATGATCCTATAGATCACTATGTATAAGTCCTAGCACTACAGAATTTCTTTCAATTCTTTTAAATGGTTGTCTAATTATTTTTGTTAGCATGCAAGTACTACATATTTACTAAATCTATATCAAAAGTAGGAATCAACCCTTCTTTAGACATATTAATCATATGATTATAATGAACATGGCCTAATCTAGCATGCCATAGATAACTATCATTAATTCTAAACTTGCCATACAAACATAATTAATAACTTTATTAACTTTATTAATATTTAGCTTAAACATTCCATTACAGAAATAACCAAATTCAACAAACACACCATATTTCGATACTATATATTTATCGGATTCATACACTTGTTTAAAACCACATTTATTTAAAACACTATCAGAGACTAAGTTTTTCTTAATTTCGGGTACATGAAGTACATCCTTGAGATCAAGGGTTTTTCCAGAACTAAACTCTAACACCATTTTTCCACGGCCTAAGATAGGGGCAGTTGACTCGTTTCCCATATGAAGTACAGATCCATCTTGAAATTTCTCATATGTAATGAACCCTTCTCGATCTCTGCAAACATATATTGTTGCGCCCGAGTCAATCCATCATGCCACTTCATCATCATACACATAAAATGCCTCATAAATTTTTGATACATAATTTTTAATAGAATATGGTTTAAAAATCAGAAATTTTACCTTGATGAGTGGATGGACCTTGGTCCAAAAACCTTTGTCCCAAACGGTTCTGTCCCGTTTTATTCTTATCCTTCTCTTCTCGGCAATCACAACTTAAGTGACTCGGCTTGTTACAATTCCAACGAATGTTGCCATTAGAGGAGTGTTTCCTCCATTTTTTCTTCTTAGAACTCACACATTCCTCCATCATATTGATGGAAGAAGTACCAGCCTCATTATTTTTGGGTTTTTCTCCCTCTTGCGCCCTTAGAGATTCCTCTATGCGCAAATGGCTGCCAAGTTGTACAAGAGACAACTCTTCCTTTTTGTGTTTTAACATGTGTTTAAAATCTTTCCATGAAGATGATAACTTATCGATGATACTCGATACTGAGAAGGATTCATCCATCATCATGTTGTGTTGGGAAAATTGACCTAATATACAAAGTAATTCATTGTATTGCTCCATACCTGGTCTAGAATCAGACATCTTGTAATTATTAAAATTACTAATAAGAAACTTCTTACTAGAAGCATCATCAGCCATGTACTTTGATTCTGACGCATCCCACAACTCTTTTGCGGATTCGACATTCTGATAAACATCAAAGAGGGGGATCTGACATACCGTTGAGAATATGGCCACGACATATGTAATCATCGTTTTCCTAGTTGCTTCCTTGTCCCATCCAAAGACTCATTCTCAACATCCTCCGAGTTAGTAGGCATAGGCATGCTTAGAACATACACTACAATCAAATTTGTGAGGAGAAAATACATTTTCTTTTTCCATCTTCTAAAGTATACTCCCTCAAATTTATCTAATTTTCCAAAGTTCGATGTCATCTCTCCCATAGATACACTAGCCATAATTCACAAGAAAGTACTCTTTAAGATTGTTGGTTATTTTGGATTGTAACCCGAAAAGTTGTGAATTATATACTTGAATAATGATTAGATCTCCGTGCTTTCTTTAAAGAGTATTTCGACCCTATTTGAAGTCTTGGGTTACTCAAAATCCCGTTGTAGGATAATACAATCAAAGTCTCACTTTGTTCAAGACTATAATACAAGAGAAACAAAAAGAGCTTTAGTGCTTATATGTGTTTCTTCAAAGTCTTTGATGATCTTTGAACGATAAATCTATTTCTCTCTTACTCTCTTACTAACAATTTGTTTCTGCTTTCTCTATCTCATTTACTAATGCCTACATCTCTTTATATAGAGAAGGAAAAGTTGCAACTAATAGTTGCAATGACTAAACCAAAGATGCAATGGTTAAAGAAGAATTACAATTATTAATACCGACAATTGCAATGGTTAGTATAGAGTTACAATGTTTAATCATCAATGGTTGCAATTATTAATATGGTTAATCATCAAATGTTGCAATTATTAATATGATTATCACCAAAAGTTGCAATCATTAATATAGTTATTACCAAATGTTGCATTCATCAATAGTTGCAAACTTTCATTTATGTAATTTCAATTGTTCACATAAATAATTGCATTGGTTCATTGCACTCTTTCAATTAAATATATAACATGTATGTATGTATGTATGTATGTATGTATGTATGTATGTATGTATGCATGGATGTATGTATGTATGTATGTATGTATGTATGTATGTATGTATGTATGTATGTATGTATGTATGTATGTATGTATGTATGTATGTATGTATGTATGTATGTATGTATGTATGTATGTATGTATGTATGCGAGTCTTTACCTTGCTAAATCATTCATTCATCAAAATGAGCATTTGATGATTACACTTGTGAACCAGAAATTCAAACAAATAGCCATATATGCAAATGTTGTAGCTTTTACAAGAATATCTTTGGAGATGTGAACTCTTAAGAGTTGGTAAATGATTACTACAATGTTATCCAAACAACAGCTGAACAGTCTATACTTCTGTAGTAAAAACTGCAACCTTTCATGTTTATAGTTTCATCTTTTCCTGAAATGTTCTGAAATGGGGGTCAATTTTTTTTAAATGCGAGGTGAATGCGGGGTTTTAAATTTTGGAGGCAAGTCAACATATTTTTAACTAGTGGATACTCGCCGAAACGCAAAATTAATACATTTACCTAAATTTAAATTATCATATATGATAGAAATGTACTAATTAAATATTATATTTTAATATATATATATATATATATATATATATATATCATCTATATTATTAAAAAGAAAATTGTAACTAAAAATATAAAATCATTTTTTATTAAAAACTTTTAACTATTGGGTTTAACGGATGATCTGCTACTATCAAAGTTTGTATAACAAAACAAGATAACTCACGATCTATACTATTATTTGCGAAGTGGTTTTTCGCAGTGGAGCTCTCACGTTAAAAGTTAGAGTGGTTAATATCGTTTATACCCTTAATGAATAAAATATATAAATCAGCCAAAAATAAAAAAGAATTTAATACTTATTTGATCAGATAAATGATTCAAATTAATAATAAATGATAAGAATTATCCATAATCTAAATATATATTTAAAAATAAAAAGATAATTCCTATATAGATATTGTGTTGTTATCCGGGAAATATATTTTAATTAAAAAAATTCAAAAACTGAAAACACATAAATAAATATTCGTAGAGTAAAATTTTTAATTGTATATAATTCAAAAAAGAAAATTGAAAATTTATAATACGTAACTAATTTCAAATTAAAAGAATATAATAATATAATATAATGATATATATCTATGAAGTTATTTTTCGGCTCTCAACTCACACGTTAAATTAAATTTATATTTATATTTTATATAGTTAAACCTTAAGAAAATACTTGTTTGAAAAAAATAAATTCAAATATATTGTATTATTATCTAAACTAATGCTATTCTTTCTGTAAGACCAATTTTTGAATGTAAATTTATCGATTCAATTTTTCAAATTTTTTTTATCAATTAAGAAGAAATGAATAGAATTTATCATGTAAAAAGGTTTAATGTTTTAGGTCGAATTTTTTGGATGCAAATAATCATTTATATTGATGTTTTTTAAAATTGATTTAAAGATAACTAAACTTTTTTTTCTTTTTTTTTTAAAGATAACTAAACTTATTTGATTAGATAAATGATTTAAATTATTAATAATGATAAGAATTATTCATAATCTAAATATATATTCATTTAGATCAGCCGTTCGTTGTCAAAAAAAAAATATATATATATATATATATATATATATATATATATATATATATATATATATATATATATATATATATATATATATATATATAT